CCGAATATGAGCATGCGCAGTAAACCTTCTTATGCTTGTGTGTGACGAAAAAGCATGGCAACTAGAGAGAGTGTCAGTTATCAACTACACGCTAGCGTCAAACCGATACAACAAATATGCCCCTATATCATTTCCCTGCTACGAAAACATGTTCAGTTTGAACTCAAATTACGCTTCTGTACGAAACTGTAAGAAAATGAGACATAAAGAAAATGATAGTTAACAAGTTGCATAAACTATTTGTCCTAGTTATAAAATGGAGATACGTGCGGAAAATATAAAATATAAGCTTTAAAACTACCAAAACCCCATGAAAATTACAAATGACGGTGTACGAACAAACACATATAGCTCCACTTCAAATGTCGTAACTTTTTAACGAAAAGGCGAATTTTTATGCAGTTTTTTGTAAATTTTTCTTCGTAAAACTCTCTTGAGATGAAAATTATTGAACAGCGAAAATTGAATTAAAAAAAACTCTGCGCATGCTCTACTGGTCGTTTGTCACGAAATTATTTTCTCTACAAAGACAAAATTTTAACAACTGAGGGCGCAAGATCGTCGGAAAAGTACCCTATTGACAAAAGACAGGCAGTTAGTCACGGCACGGTTCTCTTTGAAGATTCGCTACACCGCGCTTCGCTCATTGGCTGTAGATAAATGTGCTGTGACTCCTTCTAAATAACAACTCCCTGGTTCTATCATGTTTAAACCTACTTCAATATTAAAATGGAATCCACCTCAGGCCTTTACGGTTTATAGTCCTTATCCGAGAAGACTTGTTCTACCACCAGAACCATAGGCGAACATGGCGTTCGAACCAGCGTCGATATTATGACTATCTATTCACACTGTTAAGAATTCTTACGTCATCTCTTAAATATCAGTTTCCTCTGAACTGTACACGTATATATTTTCCTCATTTATATATGCTTCCCTCATCTTATAAACATTATTCCCAGTGTACCTCACTATTTCAAAATTCTGCCCCTGTCGCTATTCTTTCAAACAAAAACTCGATCACTTAATTAAAAAATTGCTGTGCACGTATATTTACATATGCCATAATTACCCTACCGCAATGGTTATGCTCACTACATTTGATCTAAACAAGTTTACTCAACATGTATGCAAGTTTTCTGAAAGCTGACATATTTTGTTACTTCCAGGAAAACGATCTTCATTTAAACATACAATGCAGCAAGTCTAACACTAAAGTGCATGGGTTGTAATAGCGTTAGCAAGTCAGCTACATTCTCCACCACCACAATATAAGTGTCACATCGATTCCGCGTGTCATGATCTTATCATCTCCTTAAATATAATTTTTATTAAATTTTATACACATAATGTATACCTATTGTCATAAGGTAAATTCAATGATAGCGACAAGGTCAACACAGGTTTGTACATAGTAGCTCTCTTATATCAGTGCATTATCCTATTGCCAAAAAAGTAAATTTCATGCCAAAGTAATTAATTTGTTGTAATTTTTGTTTAGAATAAAGTGGGCTCAGGGATACGCGACGGTGGGTAAAATATAGGGTATGCTAGGGACTGCTAGTGTGAAATGTTCCATCTATTATCCTACTATACAAAGTCAAAGGCTGCGTAATATTAAAATACAAATACAGAATTTATTTGAATAAACACCCCTTCCATAGCCGGCATTTGGAATAAACGCCTCTCTCGCATAAACACCCCAAACGCCGCCTACATGATTGTAAACAAAACCATAGAGAAAATAGAACAGAATTTTCTCTATGACAAAACCAATGTAAGCAATATCATTCGTTTTCAACACATTCTATTCAGCCCCGTAGCTAGACTCGTTGATAAGGTGGCATTCACATTTTCCGAGAGGGTCAAGTGCTAAAAGTGCCACACACACTCAGTCCCACCACGGTTGGAACTGAACCTGGAAATATTGACAGTAGCCTATATTGCTGGCGTTCAATTTTAAATATATCAAATAGGAGATAATGGCAAATACCAGGAAAGTCTACACCTACCTCAGCCCCGACATGATTGGAGCTGAGACGAAAACAAATCAATGATGATTTAACAACACTACGGTATATTTTACTATGCCCAGAAATTGCATACTTAAACTTGATATATTTATTCTATATTGTCTTAATTTGAAATTATGTCATTCAAATTTTAATTAGATCAAATAAGGTCAGAGCAATCTTACCGAAACGTCGAGACAACCAACCAGTGGTTTTTACCTTAATAAAAACATATTCTTTTATTTACACATGGTGTATCGAAAAAAAATGTGTTATATATATATATGTTTATTGATACTCGCCATGCAAACCTTCAAGAAATATTTTGTTCAGCTCTACGGGGAGCAATTACACAAGAAAGTTAAGAATCTCGAACGCAATTCCATCAAGCGATCGAAACTCATCAATGGCCTTACTTTCTTCAAGAGATGCAGGGACTCCAACATCATACCATCTGGTCTTAAACTTACCTCTTCTATCAAATCTAAACGTGCCAACTCCATCCTACATCAAGCCGGTATGGCTTTACTTCGAGAACGCATCAGCAATACCAGAATTAAATTAAAGCTAATAGGGGAGGAAATCGACAATATTGAAGATTTACTCCATAAGTGCATCCAGCAAACTGACTTCAACAAAATCATTAAATGGTGTGATTCGTCAGCTAAACAAGCCTTTGAGAATACACGGAAGAAGCATATTTCGAAATTTAACCGACTAAAGAACAAATTGCAGCCACGGAAATCACCGATCCTACCACGTTCACAGATTATAGATAAGACAGTCATTAACCTGAGCAGCCGAAATATCACAGATAGAGAGAAACAAGTTCTTGCCCTTGGTTTGAATTTTGCCACAACACTAACGCACATACAGAAAGAAGACATCATCCAACACATCGAACCAACTCTTACCGGTATGGACAAACCAGCTGCTGATAGCATTCGACTTGAAATCTCACGCATCCTCAGCAAAGCCGAACCACCAAAGCCGAATATTACAAAGTTAGAAAGATTGGCGCTTGAAAATCTCCACTCAAACTCTTCCATCCACATTCTCAAAGCCGATAAGTGGGAATGCCACTGTTGTTATGAACACTGCAGATTACAATCGTAAGATGCAAGATCTTCTCAACACTACTACATACAAACCTGTTAAAAGAGACCCAACGCCAGCAATTGAAAGAAAAACTGCCAGCAAACTGCTTGAACTTCATCGATCCAAGTTGCTTTCGAAATCGCTATACCACCAACTTCTGCCATCGGCATCAGTCTGTCCAACTCTCTTCGGCCAACCAAAGATTCACAAGACGGAAATCCCACTCAGACCTATTGTTTCATCCAGGGGCTGGCCTACATACCACCTTGCAAGGCATCTGGCCACCTTACTTAATCCACTAATTGGTAACACCGGACATCACGTCGTCAACTCTAAACACTTCACTGATATCATTAGGGAACTTGAGCTGGAACCTCCTGACATACTTGTTAGTTTCGATGTAGAATCACTCTTCACCAGCGTTCCGGTTGATCAGGCATGTATCTTAGCCAAACACAAGCTAGAGCAAGACTCAACCCTTCAAGAGAGAACATCGCTAACTCCACAAGACATATATGGTCTCCTATACCATTGTCTTTCATCCACAACTTTCAGATGGCGCACAGAATTCTACAAACAAACGCAAGGTGCTGCCATGGGTTCTCCACTGTCACCGGTCATCGCCAATTTATTTATGGAAGAATTTGAACGGATTGCCCTCTACACGTCAGAACACCGACCAAAGTTATGGCTTCGATATGTTGACGACACATTTGTGATCTGGCCACATAACCGGGAACTTCTGGGGGAATTCCTATGTCATCTTAATGCACAACACAGCACCATCGCCTTCACCATGGAAACTGAATCAGATAGATCTATCCCGTTTTTAGATGTACACGTAACCAGAACCACTAATAACTTGCTATCACACAAGGTATACCGGAAACCTACGCACACTGATCGTTATCTTAACCAACGGTCTTTTCATCACCCGGCAACCAAACAATCCGTATGCAACACCCTTATTAGAAGAGCCCACTCGATCGGCGACAAATCAAGCCTCGAAAAAGAACTACAACACATCAGATCTACTCTTGCCCTGAACGGATATCGCCATTATAAGTTCAACACGAACCCACCAACCACCAGACCAGTTCAACCAGAACCATTTAAGACAGTAGCCTTGCCTTATATAGGCCCCACCTCACATCAAATTCAGCGCATTCTGAACTCGGCCAACATCAGAGTTTACCACAGTGCACCCAATAAACTTCAGGGGATACTTCACACACACAAGGATAAGCCATCTCACAATAATCGTCCAGGGGTATACAAGATCCCGTGTGAATGTGGTAAGGTTTACATCGGAGAGACTGATAGAGACCTCAACACCAGACTCAAAGAACATCAAGGTCATGGAAGACGAGGCGAATACCAGAAGTCATCCATCATTCTCTATTCATACAAGGAAAATCATCAAATCCATTGGAAAGACTCAAAGCTAATCGCTCCCGTTCTAAATTGGCACTCAAGACGCACAAGGGAAGCACTGGAGATATACAAGCATAACACAGTTCCACAAGATATTGGATTCGTCATGAGTGATATATAGCTATTACTATTTAAACCATCGTCACTACGATAGTTCGAGGGAATTTCTACATACAGTTTATTTGTTTACATGTAATGCTGGTTATCATTTTATTGGCATGGGATGATAACCTGTGAATTATGAGCCTGCCGGGTTTGTCCCTTACGGTTACCAGTGACCTTGCTTATTGTTAACCACTTTACTTGTTTTCAGATTTGCTGTTCACAGCTTCTACACAGCCGACATAATAGCTAATCCTCTATTATGGGAAGACAATTAGTCATGATCTATGGACACTCCTAGCTCTCTACTTCAATCAAGCACTATTCACACCTTCTTTGTTTCAAAGGGAAACAATAGATCACCGACGATCTCCAACTCTATTTAAGACCAACATAAGTCATCTTTTATCATTCTCCTGATGACGGTCAGAGCAATCTTACCGAAACGTCGAGACAACCAACCAGTGGTTTTTTTTTATCTTAATAAAAACCATATTCTTTTATTTACACATGGTGTACCGAAAAAAAAATGTGTTATATATATATGTTTATCAAATAAGGTGTTGCGCATTTTGGGAGAAATAGAAAGGGGTAAATACCAAGCGTGTCACCATCAACCTCAGCCCTATCATGGTTGGGGGTAAGGCAGTGGCGGTGCCAGGAGTGGTCTGATGGGGTTGGGAGTCTAAGGTCTCCGACCAAGGGGAGGCTGAGGTTCCCGACAAGAACAAAGTGGGCGTGGTCGGCGTCTCTCAAAAACTTTCCAAAGTAGTCCAGGGGGCGAATCCATCAACAAATTATGACAATTTTTTATTTATTCGATTTTAGAGTCTATTAATATGTGGAAAATACATATAATTTTTTTTTCTACCAGACGAATTGTGGCTTTTGTCCCCGACGGAATGAGAGGGGGTGGGCAAAGCCTTCCCGACCGGTTACTGTTTGAGAGGTTGTAGCGCAGCCACTGGTGTAAGGCAAACAAAATTAAGGACGGAGCAACTTTAAATGCCAGAAATAGTATTGTCGGGCTTACATAGTTGAAGGTGGGCTCAGATGAAAATATTCAGGCGTGCAGTGGCAAATCTAAATGGCTTGATATTGCACTGTTAGACATTTTATATTCTTATGTGTCTGAATTTGACTTTTTAACTACGTTAAACTTTAAGTTAATCAAACATGTTTTGGGAATTAAAAAAAACTTAGGGAGAAATTATCAGGAGTCTCAACACCCACATAGGCATGCATGCAATGAGTTTAGGACTGAGATAAAATAAGGATAGTGGAGCAAGTTGCAACTCTAGATTCCTGGAAATTGCACTCGAGTCCCAAACGTTTTCAAACGGTTTCCAAATGATCTTAATTACATTGACAGTATTTTAATACACAACAAATTGTTTTAAATTATCAAAACAATTGCTAGAATCTTTTAAGAAATTTAATGAAATTATTGAATTTAATGAGCGTTTCATGAAATAGCTTATTCATGAACCTAGTCTGGTTTTGGGGCCAGAAGGATGATCATTCATGAAAGTGAATATGTACTGGTATCTAGTCGAGGTTGTATTAGGCATATTGGACCTATATAAATTTAAAGAAATACATATTTGTTGACGGTCGTCAATGGTGCAAATCTATAGCCTGCTCCCGCTTCGCATGTATCTTTTCCCAGTCATTATTTTTCTCTCGTTTCCTATGCCCGTCAACATGCTTTATGTCAATATGTTCATTTGTATTGCAATGAGTATCTTCATGAGTGTATACAAAAGGTGGGGGGGGGGGGTCAGAAAGGTCGTAAGACCCCCTCAAAAAAATGTTCAAAAGTCCAGATTTTTTCCAGACATTACTTTCTAGCAAAAATATAAAATCATTGATGATGTACCAGCAATGAGTCGAAAGACCAATTGCGTGACGTGTAATCTATTTCAATTCCAGCAATATAAACCGCAATTCTGAAACTGAGCCTGCCATCCGCTTCAAGGTGGTGGTGCTGTAATCGATTTTTTTTGTCTCCCACCAGCAACAGATTATCCTCAATGGCGTTGCAGTCTCAGATAAGGAATAGGATTAGGTGTAACTTTGCCAAAATCGTTAGTCACAACAGTTGTTCTAATGGTAGGCCAATTCATGCGATTTTTTGCACTTTATTAAATAGGCAGCAATTTCTATTATTTTTAAATTGGCGCTATATAAATATTTGTTGTTGTTATTATTATTATTATTAATTATTATTATTATTATTATTATTATTATTAAATTGTATTGACATTTTAATAACATCTTGCTGTTATTTCATTGTGAAAAGGTTAAAAAAATTATGATCACAACCCACCCAGAAATAATCCTGGATAAACCCCTGATCTTCCTCTGTCACTATGCATCGTGATCACTATGTTTCTATATTATTGTTCATGCAGGTGTATGTGTTTGCCAATACCTATCTCTCATTCCTTCACAATATGCTTTTAAACCATTTAAAAAAAAAATTTGTTTAATTTGGTATATCCTAAGCCTATACTAAAACTATAATGTCCACAAATATGCTTTTGTAAATTAGTATTAAATGATTAAAGACCAACTCAAATGAAATGCAGGAACTACATCACTTACGTTTTCCTTTCTATTTTCAGTAATTATTTGGCTCAAAAAGACAGTCGTCGATGTACCTTTCCGTTTTTCTACAATAAAATGTAAAGTTTATTATTTCATTATTGAATACCAACTGAACTATGTGGCATTATGTCATAAACAATTAAATACAGATAAATCATTTTGCAGTGATCCCTATGACTATTCGCATCACCCCTTGCCAAAAACCCGGAACGAAATGAGTTTGCAAAATTTCTGTTGTATTATCGATATCCCTTTAGAATAATTCCACTGAGTGTACAACATGTGTTCACACAATGTTGTCTAGGGCTATATTGACACACTGGTATTATATATAACAGTCAATCATATGGTAGTCAGAGCACTGTATGAACACATGTCTTTTACTCTGTGTATAATTGCTCATACGTGTTTGGCCACTAAGGTTCCGTACCCACCCCACTTATAATTTGATATTTCAGCATAATGTACAACAAAACTCATCAAGATGCATACCAGGTCATATTATAGGATTCGATATACATAGGCCTAATTGTAATTAACAATAGTGTGCGATGAACACGTAAACCACTCAATATTGGTTTAAGTCTCGATCCTTTCTTTCCTTATATCGTGTAGGCATATTTACATCAGTGGGTGTACTAAAAGTTGTCTTTGCTCTCACTACATTTCAGTTTTGCTTAAAGTTCAAATTAACATAGTTTTCAATATATTTATGTAGATTTTAATTATAAAAACAATAATAATGGGGTTGTTTTCGGGAATAAAACATCCGATTATTGCTTAAGGGTGTACGTCTTTCCCGAACAAAATTATTTTCGAGTGGTATGTATATGAAATTCTCTAATATTAAGAAAAAAAAACCAAACAAACAAACAAACAAACATCAACACTTGCTTTATTAAGCCATAGATGAATTAATCTTAAACTAATTTTAAACTAATTCCTCCATGATTAAACAAACAAATATAATAAACAATTGAAAGGAGGCATGGACATGCGGGAACGTGTAACGAATACATTTCATATATTGTGAACAGATATATTTCATATAATCTGTTCGCATTTTCAATACATTAAACACTACATAGGGATATAAAGTTATATTTAAAATTTTAGATAATATAGGCCTACTAAAGGAAAGTTAGTCTCTTTTCCTTAATGATCTGGCAGAATAACTAATGAGATATATCACTGTAATCGTGGTTATCTAAGAATTTATACAACCTTGCATTTTCCAAGTTGTGTGAAACAGACAATAATAACAAGAAAAATAACGTTGAATATCTATCAATAACTAACTTTATCAGTATTAACATAATTATATAAGATATCCGGATGACCAGTATATAGACATAAGACATAGAAGAGACTGAAAGATTATTGAATGTCAGAATTGTTAAAAAAGCGAAAGATGATTATTTAGAGAATTAAAATACGAGCTTCATGATTTCCATTTCATGATCACCACTTTCTTCAGAGTGAAAATTAATACATAGAGTTATTATTAATATGAATGCAAAAGACAGACATAACATAATGGCAGCTTGCTACATAGTCCCCAAAAACATTCTCTGTTAAAAACAACACAGACGGCGCAGTGGCGGATCTAGTATTTAGCAATGGGCGTGGATACGCGATTTGCGAAGTACCAAGCGGGGGTGGGGGAGGTGTGGTTTTGGCAAATTCGCAGATCTGTTTCTAAAGGTGAAGGGGATATTTTGTGAGTCCACACCCACCTCAGGCCCACTATGGTTGGGTCCGAGGTTGGAAAATTCATCGTCATCACATCACCTTTATATAGTCAAATGACGTTTTACCAGCGATTTGCAGCAACTAAATCTAATTAATGTGATGTACTTACAAAGTAAAACTTAAAAACATTATCTTTGACAGTCTCTAGGGTAAAATTCATCCTCATCTAATTAATCGTTGTGGCGTTCCATTGAAAATAAAACTTAATTGTCTTTGATGTATTTTTAATTTACTTTCACTGTTCCGAAAACTAATCTTATCAACATTATTATTAGGCCTATTATTATTATTATTATTATTATTATTATTATTGTTGTTGTTGTTATTATTATTATTATTATTATTTATTATTTATAATAATAATAATAATAATAATTTTAATATTAATAAATAATAAACATAATGATAATATTAAATTAATAATATGTATATTCTATGTATAGGGCCTATATATTGCTTTAAGTAGAGTAAAATTAATAATTTGCCTATCGAAATGACGTTACTTCGATTGCCAATCCCTAATAATCTAAAAAAGTACATTTCGAACCATCGAAACCATTAAAACTCGCCCTATGTACCCTACCAGGGATTAGTTTAAATTCACAAAAGTGCGAGAGTGCATTTCCGGGGAAATTATTGGATCCACTTTTGGTACAG